GCGATCCGCTCGCCAGCCGCCCCTCTGGGCCCTTGCAGACCCACGGCAGCGGTTCCCAAGGGTGCCTGCTGCGGGGGATGCGGGTGAGCAGGGATGCGGCCAGCAGCCGCCCTGGGAGCCGGCCTGCGGCAGCCAGACCTACTCTCGCCATGGCCTTGCCATGGGAATTCTCTGTGCCGCTCACACTGGGCCTGCGGACGTGGATGTTCTGCTTGGAAATTGTTCACGCCGACAGGCCGGCATAAACATGGAATATTCTTAATGCCCCCTCGTAACTTTTCCGATGAAATGTGGAGAAAGGGTGCCCGACAGCAGTTCCGAGGGCGTTGCTGCGCACGTGAGCTTGGCTTAACAGCGAAAAAGGTCACTGTAAAAATGAAACGCTCTCTCAGTGGTTTTGTCCTCTTGAGGCCTGGGATGAGGGCTTGGCTGCTTCTCACCTGGCGAAGTCATCCCCACTTCGGTGGGTTTTCTTAGGATTAATCTCTTACTAAATGTTTCCCCCGACCTCGATCGTATGTTGTACATAGGAAGAGTCCCCCGACGTCATCTTAAGTTTTCCCCCGGGTTGGGTCGTACCGAGTCCAGCCTTAGGGTCGTGCAGGGCTACCGTGCTGTGCAAGGTGGTGGAACGTGCTGCCTCCTGCCAGGCCCCCGGGCATCAAGGGTGGGAAGCAGACGGAGCACTAATACCAGAGGAAGCCAAAGCTTTCTGTACTTTAAAGGAGTAATTATGGATAAAATGCGTTCTTGTGTTCATAATGCACTTTTTTTACCTTAATGTGTCCGCACAGCATTCATGTGGGGGGTTGTGTGGCATTCTGCATTTCAGCTTTTGCTATCACCAATACGACGGAACTAGTTATTCTTGGGGATGTCTATGCTTCCTCCCTAAGGTTATGTCTTCTGCCTACCCTCATCTTTCCACGATGAAAAGAGGGCAGAGGCTTGGGGAGGTGGAACTGCTCAGCTGGCAGAGGGGCAGCACAGTCCCACGTCAGTGAGACCGTTGGCAGGTGTGCAAACACATCGGCCTTGATCTGTGCACCAGCCTGCTGTGGCATTGTGCTGCCCTGCGAGTGCTGCTGTCTCGCGCACAGACCTTCAACCAGAAACCAGTCAAAAAGGTCAATTAATTCACATTCGCAATAAAGGTGGATAAAGGATTCTAATAGAAATCATGTCTGGGAGGCAGTAACTTTTGCTGCCTTATCACCTGCCATGAATGCTATTTATAATAATAATGTAAACGAGCCTGTTTAGGGGGAGAAAAGTCAGATTAGGGAAAAAAAAAGTCAATAGCTCACAATTAAATCCGTCTTCCCGACCAAGAAGCTAGTCAAGTCACAGCTATCACCAAGACAATCCTACATGGATACTTCCATGTAATACCGGTTTTCTGAAGACTTTATGCCATTAAAGAGAAATAACAACCTACCTGTGTGGCCAGAGGCTTGGGCATGGCACTTCTCGCACCAATCTGCCAAAGCTGAGGTTCAGTGCATATGGCAGCCTTTGTCGCGCCTGTGTTAATACACAGAAAATATATATTCCAATTCATATTTGGCTTCAGTTCTATCTGTGGACCCGACTATGAATTTATTTGTTCTTTTTTTTTTTTTAATATTAAACAGTGGCAACTTTTGGTTAAGTGTAAATGAAACAATGAAGTTGTCTCCAGGTTGGACACTTGCCAGCATTGCCTGATTTTATGGTTCAATATCGCTGGGTGGCATTAACTATGCTTATGATACTGCAGCTGTTGCTATAACTGCTTCATCTTTTCATAAATAAGATATTAATTTCCTGAGTTTAAAGTAACTGGTGACAAAGGTACCAGCATCTAATTTGGCTAGAAATCAGCTTGCTCAAACAAGTGGTGTAATTACGTGCTGTGGGCTGTATCCGTGTTGGTGTGCAGAGTCTTTAATCACGTTAAAGAATATGAGCAGCAAGTAGGGAGTAGAACACTGAGCAAGTGTCAGTTGGGCTGCTATTCTTTAGCCTTAGAAATAGGATGAAAGAGGGTGTGAGGGAAGAAAAGGTATGATCTTCTCTGACCCTTGGAATGTTCCATTCATCTTTTATTACTTGGAAGCAAGGAGGAGTAGAAATCTTGAATTAATTGGTTAATTAGAAAGATTTAGATGAAGCATTTTGTCAGTATGAGATATCCTTTGGAGTGGGAGAGGTTGTTTCGGTTCTCACTTGAAATGGGGCAGTTGAGAGAGCCATTCTGCAAATTCTGGGCAATCAACTGCAGGAGAGTTACACCACAAATTCAGTAATGCTGAGATTCCTCTTCACCATTACTTTCCCGCTTCGACATTTGCTGGAGTAGTTCTGAGCCCCAACTTTCCTTCCGTGTGGTCTTGCCCTACCTGCTGCCCCTGAAGCCCGCAGACGGGCACTCGTGCAGCAGGAGATCCTCCCTCTTCGCGGCACATCCTGGGAGCTGGTACGTGTCTGTTTGCGCAGGGCGGGCGGGTGCCCGCTGCTGTGTGCGTGGCAGGGCCCGGAGCCGGATGGCTGCACGGGGCAGGCCATCATCCTCCACCTTGGGAACCCAGCTGCCATCACTCACCCACACTTGGTGGATGCTGCATCCCCAGTGTTCTGCATGGCCAGGCCTGTTCGTGGGGCAGGGTTACACCTTGCAGAGTTACTTTGTCCTTCCAGAGGACAGTTACGGACCTCAGAACAGACACGGAAGGATTCTCTCCCCATTTTCGCCCACATTTTTAACTTCTGTTCTTACAGTGGGTTCATTCGTGTTTCCTTCATGCCAGCACGTCTGAGTTGTTTAAGGGAAAAGTGTGAGAGAGAAACGACATGAAGAATACTTTGCTTCAGTGAGTATGACAACAATTAAGATAATTTACAAAGGAATCAGAGACGATTAAGCAGGGTTTCAACGCGGGTTATTCCATCAGCTTCAGTTGGAATGGTGAGTGGTTTCAGGGAAGGCCGTGGAAGTGACTGCACACTTAGTGAGCTTTGAATTGTGCCATACGGATGTAACCGTAGCTGATGCGCAGCTCCTACACAGGACAGGCAGCCTGGGGAGAGAGAATTAGTATTTTTGGATGAAGCCTATTTTGTGCCATCCAAGATGTGCCAGCGTAGCTACCTACCAGGAACTTCTCAGAAATAATTCTTTGTCTGCAAGTAATTCCATGGAAATACCAGTTGAAAATTAGGACATAAATGTTTCTGAGAGGAAGACGTCACAGAAAATGAAGCAAGTGTCAAAGCTGTAACACTTTAATAAGGCTTCTTCTAACTGGCTTGTGTCTCAGCTGCGGCCGTGCTGGGTTCAGGGCTGTGGCAGTGTTTTGGGATGTGCAGGCCCGAGCTGCAGGCTCGGGTTGAAGGAGGGAAGGCTGCCCGCTGGGCAAGTGAGCAGCAGTGATCAGTAGCGTAGGAAATAAACAGTTAACATTGTGAAACATCACCTGGTATTTCATAGTTGTGCTAGAGAAAAATGGTTTTCTATAGAAGTCTTGATTAAAGTGAAAACGTGTCAGGAAAACGTGGTAGCTGTTAGCAGTATCCCGCTGCGTGCCGTGTACATCCAGAGTGGGCACAAGGCTCACCTACGAGCCTTACCAATTCCAAAGAGAGTAACAAATGCAACAAAAAAAGGTGAATTCCCTCAACAGTGAAGTCAGTGGGGCTGGGACACCTTTTGTCCCATCCTCAGCTATGTATGAACACCTCAGGGTAAGCAGGGATCAGTACCGTGTGGTCTAAGAGACGATCCTCCAAACGCACCGCATGACCCGAGTTTTCCTTGTTCGGCCTCTTCCTAGCAAAACATCCAAAACCTGGAATCCGACAGCTAAAATCTATTTTAGAAATACTACGCTCTCCAGGTGGCGCACTGACTTCTGTGGGAGTTGCGCTGGAAGGGGAGGATCTGGCAGGACAATTCTGGATCGGAGCGATACTCGCCAGTGGTGCCGATGCCTGGAAATTAGCGTGCTGGGTTCAAGACCGTGCTGGACCGTGCAGCCTTGGGATTCAGCGTTGCTGGTGTCGGCTCACAGTCACAGAAAGCAGGAGGCCTGTTTGGTTTTATTATTCATTTAGGGTGTTTGTTTATGAAATGGCCAAGTAAAGCGACTGCACAGGTGCTGGGAGGGGGACGGATGCAGGTGAATCTCTCTTCTGCCCCGGCTGGATTCCGGGGCAGCCGTGGCTTCTTGGGCAGATCAGTCTACAGAACCATCTCCTGCAGTGGCCCTGCAGCACCCTCCTCCAGGTTCCTTGGTAGCCGCTTATGGGGGAAAATCACAGTCCGCTTTCTTTTGGGTTATAAAGATGAAAAGTCATTTGGAAAATATGAAAGTACCACTGTGAATTGCAGTGCTTAAATACTACCCAGTAGCTCTGCTTCTGTGCACATGTGTTTCCATAAATGCATCATCAGACGCCTGTGACTAATCAGGTTGAACTCAGTTTGTGGGATTAGGGCCTCTTTACAGCTGGGAATTCAAGTTGCTCTAGGAATAGTTTGATAATTTTTCTTTCTTAAGCTACACACAATTTTTTTACATGCTCTTGAGTCGTTGCATGTGGAAAAAAATGAATAGAGGTAATGCACTGCTCGTGAGCCTTTGGAACACTTGAGGGACCCCCCTCAGCTTCATGCAGAAATCTGTCCTTCAGCTGTGAGACTGGGAGCTGTGCAATCTGTGGAGGAAAGGAAAAATATTCATTCCTAGTATATTAGTAAAAAAAGTTACTTCAGACCGAAACTCTTGGCTGAGTTTCTTGATTCCTGACATCCTGAAGGAGTTATTTCTTCGTTAATTGTAATACACAGCCATATTGCTTATGCGTGATGGTGGTTCATGGTAATTGGAATACTGGTGGGAAACAATGCTTCTGGGCTGTTAATGAGCAGGTGTGCAGGGGGGGAACGTGTGCCCTGGCACCCGGCATGCCCCGGCACCCGGCGTGCCCGGGAGGGTTTCCTGCCACAGCCCTGCCGCTGGCTCGTCCCTTAGGTGGAGTTGCGAGCCCCTTTCGGAAGGCACCCAGGTACCTGGTAGAGCACGTGGACAACTGATGTAACTAATTGCTCCACAGGGTAAACCAGCTCTTACGATCTGGCTGGATTTTATTGTTGCTTGGTACTTATTATAACTGATTGGCTTGTTTCAAACGGTGCGGAGTAAAACGGGCTGGTCTCAGGACAAGGAGGAGCTCCCGCCGGTGCAGAGCTAACACGTCCCTGCCACGGCCTCAAGGCAGTTTTCAGCATTTTTAGCGCCAGTTTCTGCAGCAATGGCTAACTTCTGCAGGACAGAAAATTACGTTCCTTGGGAGGATCTGAAACGATCAGGAAGGGAAAGAAAAAAAAAATCCAAGAACCGTTGCGTTAGCAGGATTTTAGTGCCAGAACAATTAATGAGCTGTGAGAAGCAGATGAGCAGAACAAAGTGCGATAGGCAGAAAACGTCCTTGTGGTCTTTTTGCAATATGGGAAGTGTAGCCGCTGCCCGTCAGCCGGTACCGTGGGCTAGTTCCTATCAGAGCATGGATTTTCCCCTCTGTGGTTTTGGCTGATGTCTTTGGGGACACTGGTAACTGATTCTGCTCTTGGTGGGAGAAATTACAAGTCTGGAGCATAAAAGGAAGCCTAACGCAGAGCTCACTGAAATGCCTGACGTAAAGCTCCCTGGGGTCAATCACTCTCTTGACTTTGACAGCCTTTTAACATGAGGAACCACTGTACAGGAAGATGGATGGGTAAGCTGACACCAGAATAGGTGGTTTGTTGTTGTTTGGATTTTTTTTTTTTTAACAATTGAGATTCTATTTTTTAAAAAAAACCCTGAAAGTATTTGTGCAATTGCTTTTGTGTAAGTTTTTCCTTTATACTTCAGTTATCTTGTGCCTGTTTTACAATAGGTGAACCCAGACAAGAAGCAATTGAACCCACAGTCGTACAGAAAACACTCTGGTCTTATTTATGTGTTCATATTTTTGCCCCTGCAAACATTTATTGCATGCTCTATATTTATAATAGCGCTGATCAGCTGGACATATTTGTGGTTTGGTTCACGTGGTGGCCTTTCTCCAGAACAAGGATCTGAGAATCTCTAAGACCGAAGTCCAACACACCCCATTCAAAAGAGCCTTTTCAGCATCTTCAGCTGAAGCTCAGTCAGGAGGGAGCCTGATCATGTTGCTTTGCTGATTTCCCAAGTGGTGTTGGTGCTGGAAAGGCTCGCTCCTTAACGTGGGTACAGCTCACGTTGCTTGGCACTGGGACTGTGGCTTCACTGTGGTGATGGTAACAAATGTTTTCCAGAAAAAAACCCAAACCTTGCAAATGGCTCCATGCTTCTTGAGCAAAATCAGGTGAATGTTGGAGCAAAAATTATTAAGGGAAAACATTTTGATTAAGCTTGTTTACTATACTGGCATGCCTGCAAGAGTAACAGTCTCTTTTTTTCTTTTCCTTTTGTTCCGATAATGAAGGGATCACCTACAGGCTGCGGGCCACATCTGTGTTCTTAAGGATGCTTTCATGTACGGAAGTCCAGCTGAAATAGCAGCTCTAACCTCCACAGACGAGTTTGACGCGGCCCTGGCCATCCATCTCTACAAGGGAGGCAGGCTTCTGCAAGGTAACCCTCGTTCTGTTGGCAGCGAGAAGGCCGCTGAAAAAGTGCAGAAAGAAGAGAGCACGTGCAGGCAGTCATAAATGGCTGCAGACGTACAGGAGTAACCACCTGGAGCGTGGTTATTCTGTTTATCCACGTCACCAAGTGTTCAGAAATGCTGAAAATCTTTCTCTGTGGGTGCTCTGATCCAGAGGGGAGAGAGCAGAATGAAGGTACTTTTGCACCACGTTGGGCATTCCATGATGATGTACTTCACCTGCATTAAGTGGGGCATTGCGCTGACCTTAAAGTACTTCCAGCGAACGTGTTCTTTCAGAGGACACTGGCTTGGCTAAGTGGAGCTGAGGTCCGAGAGAAGAAGCAAAGGCTAATTGGGTTTTTCTGCTCAAAAATGGGTCAGGGTTTTTTGGACATACAGTAACATTGAGATGTCATTTATGCCAGCTAAACCGGAGGAGACAGGGTGTTATCAGACAAATAATAGAATTTTCCATTCTCTCTAGCCATGTAGAACAGCACTTTAGCCTGCCATTAGCGATACCCTAGGAGCTTCCAAAGTTACGGGCACCATCACCCAGCGAAATGGCAAGTGTGTGCCCACTGGTGAGATCATTCCTGTTGTCCAAACCGGTGCGCTGGGACGAAGGTACATAGCTGATACTTTGATCAATCGCGGTACAGGCTGTGTTGTGCTAGTTTCCAGGCCTCGGAACCCCCCTGCGATCTGTGCCGGTGGGTTTTCAGAAAGCCTGAATTACGATGTCTAGCGTGCTTGCTATCTGTTGGTGGAACGGAGCCGTGGTGTCCGTAGGGATCCTGGGATACACAGAAAACTGGCTGATGATCGCTGCTGGCAAGTATTAAGACTTCTCTTGTTGGAATATAGAGATGATTGGTTTTGTGACAAGACCTGGAATTGGTTTAGGGGAGGGTTTTGGAAGGTTATAGAAGGATCTCCTTTTTGAAGTCAGTGGTTTCAGTAGTCGGAGTCACACTGTTCCAAAGAGTGTCTGCCATGGCGGAGAGCAGAACAAACCAGAAACCTGTGAGCGGCAGGATGGTAGTATGGTTGCTGGGATGATCCTAGTTGAAGTGTAAAAGTTATTGTACACTTCTTGGAGGAAAGAATGATTCTTGTAACATTTAATCTTTCCATACCCTGTATTAGGAAATGCCTTAAGGAAATCGAGTGGCTACAGCCACACTACCATTACTACCATACGGCCAGTCTTCTGGGCCTCGTCCCGGAAACTGTTTACACGACTGGGGGTGTATGATCAAGGCATGTAAGAGATGACACAGTAATTATTTTCTTCTTTATGTACCAGAAAGGCGATACATATTTATAATATAGTACAGAAAGTCAGTCCCTGGAGGACTAGTGCTGCGGAGCTTTCGTAGTGCACACTGGTTCTCTTCTCCTACAGACATTAGAGTGGGATCACCAGAAATGCCAAGCAGAGTCTTTAAGTAGCCAGCATGGCAACCAGTCTGTCATGCCTTTTGTTTGTTCTTTCACTTAGTAGTGAGGAAAACAGCAATGCTAATAAATCCTCATCTTACAGCTCACTTGTGTTTCACATTTATATTTGGAAATTATAGGATGTTTTCCATCTTTATCAACATATGGATTTTGTTTCCCATTTGATTTAAGATTTCCTTACGTGCTTGTTTTTAACCATGAATTTTAATTGTGAGAGTCCACTGAATTTAACCCAGCATCCCCTCATCCCCAAAGACCCTGTGGGTCGCTACAGTGTCACCAGTAGTTGTCCCAGCTACGAGCATTCACGGTTGGTTATGTTATCTCCATCAGCACAGTACTCTCCAGTGCCCTGCCCGTTGGTCCGCACTGAGGATAGCGTTGTCTCCTGGGTCCTCGATCCCTCTCCCCTTCCATCCCATCGCAAAAGGGAAAAAAACTAAGCCTATTTCTGCCTTCCTCAATGCACAGTGTGTCGTGGCAGTACAGCGTAACTGCTTGTTCCTCTCACAGTCAGAGGGAAACCTTGGCTCCACCAGTCCCAGCTGCCAGACATCTGGTCACTGTGTTGATGTGTTTCCAGGCTGTCTTACTGGAGACTGTTTCTTTTGTCCCCATTGGAATTTATAACTCTGGCATGTAGTAATTAGCCACTATGAGTCTGTTATTTGTTAGCTTAACGTGGTGTAAAACTTACCATTTAATCATTTCCAGTGCAGAAACAATCAACAGCAAACAGTATTGTCTGCTATCTTGATTAGGTTAAGGGGAGAACATCACTGATAACTTGTCACTTACTGAAAATGACCAGTCCAGCCACCGTTAGCATAGAAGTGCTGCTCTGCCCTGTTTCAGGCCTTTACCTCTACGCAAGTAGGAATTTATTCTGATGCTGGGTATCAGAACAAGGCTCTTGTTCTAATCCACCACTAGGATATATGTGCTTTTGTTGATACTCTAAAATCTGAATGTTGATAAGGTTTTGTGCAGAGCCAGAGGTTTTGTTATATGTGCTTTTGTTGATACTCTAAAATCTGAATGTTGATGTTTTGTGCAGAGCCAGAGGTTTTGTGCAGTTCCCAGAGCCAACAAGCCTTCCTCTGCTTTTACTCTTCTGAGCACTGTAAGACATCTTAAAACAACTGTCATAACTTGGGTGATCACAGAAAGTCTTGGAATGACCAGTTATAAACACAGATCTGTCTTTTGGGGTGGGACTGTGCAAAACAATGGTTTTGTTGCAGGTTCACATATACTGCCTTATTTAATTCAGTGAGATTTTCCAGTGGGGTGGTTCCATCTACATTTACTACATCTACATTTACTGCTACATTTGTAGCAGTAAAATTGGCTTTGAGAATCAATATTTAAAAAAAAAAGAAGTAATTTGAGTAACCAGCTTTGCAGGATGCTCACCCAAACCACTACTGGAATGCTCAAGGGGGCAGTGAATGAGTGGCTGAGGCTGGGACCCAACTTGGCAATACTGCATCGTATCAAAACATGAATGACATTTAAAATAATACGTGCTGTTTGGTGGGCTGCCAAGTGTAGAAAATGATTGATTGTTTTTACTAAGCATGGGAAAAGCAAAGAAAATCTCTGAGCTACACACCAGGCTGACGTGCCATGAAAGTGCATCCTTACTGCATGGGTTTATTCAGTTCCAAACCCATAAAGAGTCAAGTTTCTCCAGGTTTCTCTTCCGAAGGCTTTTGCTTACTTATGTGGTACGCTATTACCAATTTCCTTTTTCGCTTGTAATGTCCCTTCTAGGGGTACCTTGGTGTCCTGCTCAACTTCTCATCGTAGTCATTGCTTTGCAGGTAGCAGCATTCCTTTTGGAATCATCTTTGGGGGTACAGATGTAAATGAAGATGTCAGATGTGAAGAGAAACATCGGGTAATGGGAGCAGTGCTCGGAGAAGCCAGGTAAAAGCGTGTGTGGAAGGTTTATGACAGGAAATTGCATTTTTGTAATGGCAGATCTTTTAGGAAGTTTCACAAAAGCTTGGAATCCCTGGGGGTTGTGTAGACCAGCGGACAAAGGATGGACTGCTTGAAATCCTGATAATCTCGGGATCTCTAAGCAAATTCTCTCCCTTTTTTTCAGGTGAACTCACAAGGGGGTATTTTCAGGGTGTTTCAAAGTCTGGGAAAGTCCCAGTGACATGTCAGTGTAGTCATCAAATGTAGTTCAAGGAATGACCAGAAATCAGAGAAAATTACTAAAACCCAAAAATGTTTTTGCAACGTTTCTCATTGTTACAACATCCCTGGGAAAGAAGCTTCCTTCTGACCCAAAGGTCTGTTGAATTCAAGTGCTTGATCACATCCATGGGGGACCAGTAAGTCCTTTTCTTACTGGAAACCAAAGCATTTTATGGATGTAAATCTTCCAGTGGAGGAAATTAATTGAATGGATATCTTGAGTCTTTCCAAGATGAGGCGAAGGCTGCCACTGTGCATGCAGCCAGTGTGACAGCTCCCTGATGGCAGGGATGGCCTTGCTGCTACAGCCCTTCCTCTGCCCCTTTCCCTTCCTTGCGGCTGTGTGACCCACCCCTCCTGGTGCCAGATTGGACGGATATCTGAGGACTCACTAAATGGGGTAAAATTGGCTTGGGTTTGGGTTTTTTTGGCTTAGTTTTCTACCACTTCAGTAAGGAAGGTCAGCTTGTGGAAGGACACAAGGGGGATGCTGCAGCCGGTCACTCGGGCTGATGGAGCTGTAGCGTGCCGGGGGTGCTCTGAAGTCATCCCTCCAGACCCGAGCTCTGCACAAGCCAGTGGGGTCCCTGGGGCTGGTAGGTGTGATGAGATCCAATCAAACCCAGTGGTACTGCTGGCAGAGCTTCAATA